CTAACTTCCAAACTTCTGCTCAGATTTTGCAATATTGTATTTTATAGTTGAAACAGCATTTTCAAGTTTTTGTCGCGCTCTTCTGTTTCAACTATTCATCGAGAGATTTTTCAAGAGCACCGCGCTTATTTGTTCAAAAAATATAGTTAATTTGTATTTCGAGATATTGTGGGGGGTCGCCCTTGGAATATTTCAAATTTTCCCAACCTTAGTTCCCGGCTTTCCGCCAAAAAGAAATAATGTTGAGTATCGCATCTCAAACCCTCTCTTTTCTCACATATCTTGAAATAGGGCACGAAAGCCACTCTCAAGACAACTATCCAATCCTGATATTAATTCGTGTTAACAAGTGGGCAATTGCTTTCAATTGTGTCAATTATGGTGTCTGTTTTTACTAATGAATTAGCAATATGCTTCCGAATGAATATTGCCTTTTCACTGCACTTTGCCATTAACTGATGATATATGTCCCCATAAGACCCTCATTACCTTTATCACCCTTATCACCCCTATGACGCCCATAATACTCTCATAAGACCCTCATATTCAGGCGCCACTGAAAGATCAGGGGACGCTACCCACAGCAACCCCCCTAGCAACCACCCATAACAACCCCCCCTAGCAACCTCCCTAGCAACCCCCCTAGCAACCACCCATAGCAACCCCCCTAGCAATCTCCTATCAACCCCCACTTGCAACCCTCTTAGCTACCCCCCTAGCAACCTTCCCTAGCAATCTCCCATAGCAACCTCCCTTAGCAACCTCCCTTAGCAACCTCTCTTAGCAACCTCCCTTAGCAACCTCCCTTAGCAAACTGCCCTAGCAACCCCCATTAGCAACCTCCCTTAGCAACCCCCTGGAAATCCTCCCTAGCAACCCCCTCCGGGAACCCTCTCATATGACCCTCATAAACCCCCATAAGACTCCCATAAGACTCTCATAAGACCCTCATATGACCCTTATAAACCTTCATAAGACCCCCATATGGCCCTCATAAACCCCGTAAGTCCCCCATAAAACACTCATAAGACTCCCATGAGATCCCCATGAGGCCGTCATAAACCCCCATAAGAGCCCCATAAAACTCCCATAAGACCCCCATAAGACTCTCAGAAGAACCCCATAAGACCCCCATACGCGCCAACATTACACCAACATTACGCCAACATTGCGCCAACATTGGACCAACCTTGGGCCAAATTTTTGAGAATAATTCAAAAACTAAAAGCGCAATCGACACCGTCTTCGAACTCGGTCTGTATAACATAAAAAACGCACATTTCTAGCCCAGATTCGATTGATTCAGATAATTATTTTTGAAGTTATCGTGAAAAAACTGAATCGGTCACATGCATACCTACACACGCACATACATACATACATACATACATCCGGACAGGGTCTAAAAATATCAGATTCGTACTCCTGACCCGCAAATTAGTCATCTTCACGAAGAAAACTGGAAACTTAAATTCGGAGGAATACAATGCTTCCATTCGGAAGCAAAAGTAGTAAAGAAACCCTTGTTTATATTGCTTGTCTAGCTATCTAGTAGTGTTGACGTACTTGTTCTGTACTCGGACTTCCACTTCGACTGTCATATGAACTTGATCATAGACACTAATAGCCTGGACTTAGATGTAAATACAACCTGAACTTATAGTCAGACTTGAAATTCAATTTCACCTTTGACTTTGACTCCAACCTAAATTTCTCCTTTTAGTTATACTTGGAGTCTGACACAGATTTAAACCTAGTTTAAAACGTGGACACTGAATTTTACATGGAGTCAGACTTCAACTTGAACCTCCATATCTGCTTCAACCGAATTTTAGACTTAGACTTCAAGCTGCGCTCAGATGTTTAGTTCTATACACCCTCCAACTACGAAGTTCTTCAGAAACATGATTTTTCCAATTTTTTGTAATATTTCGAAGTATCCCAATAATCTCAATGGCAGAAAAACGCGGAAATCTTGAAACCAACGTGATATTTAATAATTATTAGAAAATCAATCTTAACAATGAACATAAGAGCATAATACAAATTACATTACATTAACCCGATAAACTTTATCATCTCTGATTTTCATGTTTTGCTATTTTTTTAAATATATTCTATCAAAATGTGAGGATAGAAATTGAATTGATGGGTATTCTTTCATTATTTGAAAAAATATATCAATTTTAAAATTTTCCGGAGACATTGCACAATTGATATTTTTATTTTCTTGCTGATCATCTTTCTTTGCATTTTCCTTATTCCGTTCCATTGATATGAGATTAAAGAGATGGAAAATTTGCATATCCGTTGACATTTTTCAAAAAATTGGTACGTCTTGATTTAACCCTCGATTGATCGCGTCATGGTACGAGCGCCGTCATTTTTCTTATTTTCGTGATATGCACTAAAATATTATGAATTACGAAATGGCTATTTAGGAATGCCTCAATTAATATTTCCTCTTCGCATACAACACGGTTTCATGTTTTTTCGTTCACCGAATATTTTTGTATTCATTTTTTAATGGAGTGCAGCCGGAGAAAATCGGCGCAGCGCTAGTGGTGCGACCAGTTACGTAGTGGAATTCTGCCGAGGGACGTTGTCACTCCTCGTGGTGTTTTCAAATGACGTATGGAAATGGCGGGTGGACCGCCCGGTGCTGAACTGTGATATTGTTATAGGCGTATTTGATGGAAAATAAATACAGGTAATTATGAAGAATGAATTATTCTGCAATGGGAATTTCTTGTGGAAGTTTTTCATGAATTTTCCGTGAAAAATGAATATAAATTGCGATAAAAAAATTTCAGTTGGCGGTTTGTCTGATGTGAACTTTCATGAGTGAATAAAATGAGAAATGAAATTGATTTTATAAATTGAAACTAATTTTGGATGGTTTTTTGATTCATATGACTATTCGCTCAACTTTCTTGTGAATATTCCAGGAGAGGAACTGACAGGAGGACAACTGATGAGAGGTTAGATGGAGAACGATTGGCGAGAGAAATAGTATTGAATGTTAGTCTATGGCTGTTCAGTTTCATTTCTGTGCAAATATTTTAGTGCATATTTTGTGATTATCAATTGTGAGAACCAATGCCAATATAAGATGAGAAAATGGAAAAAAAATTCACTTCACCAGAAACTTCGTTCTGTTCACTGGATTTTTTTTCAGCTCGGCAACGATTTCCTCTCAATTATGAAGTCTCTCAATTACTCTGGATGTCTCTTGACCTATGCTTTCATTCTATCATTTTTGTATATTATCTACAAATGCAAAGAAATTGGCTGTGTTCTTTTTGTTGACAGAGACATCACAATATCAATTTCCTAGCTTATTTGTTCTCTCCAGGCATTCGATTACGTGCTTGATTCCAGCAGAATATTTTAAAAAACCGAGGAAGACACCGAACGTTCCATAAACTTTTTTTTGTAGCTTTCACTCTAGTTTATGAAAAAGATTTTCACAAAAATCCCCTTATCTCCCGTAAATTCGACGGCTCTCACCGAAAAACTCGGGGTCAAGTAGACATAACTCATCTCATTTTGGTGCTTCAGTCAGTATTCTTTAGTACCTATTTGTCAGATTATTTATTTATTCATTTATTTTGGAGCATTTCTCAAAATTTCTCATCTTCTGGTTATTCCCCAGAAGTAATTTATGCTGAAAAATACTTTAATTAAAGGAAAAATGATCGTAAAACTTTCTAGTCTATTGTTCCTCAGATTTATATAAAATAAAAAGAATCCTGAACAAAATTATATCATTCATATATTCTTTCCAGATTTGAAAATGGCATCAAATTTTAATTGGTTACCCACTCCAGAGGAATTGGAAGGAATCGATTCTTTGGGTGATAGGGAAGATAGTGATTATTCGGACCCAGATCCCGAAGAAATTCCCGATGAAGAATCAGATATAGGCAGTTGTGTAGATGATGAAGAGCATTGTGATGATTTTTTCCTTGGGTAAAATAAATCAACAAAGTGGGCAAAATTACCATCTGCTGAAGGAAGAAAGAGGACTCAGAATAGCTTCACCGAGGTACCTGGTCTGAGAGGATCAGCGCGTGATTGTTCAACAGAATTGGAGCGCTGGGAGCTCTATTTTACAGAAGAATTATTGAACAAAATCCTCTTACACACTAACGAAAAACTCAAGGGATTTCGTGAGAAATATAAAAGAGAGCGGGATTGCCTTCAGACCAACGTGCGAGAAATTAGAGGCTTATTTGGTATTCTGTATATAAATGGGATTCTGAAGATGGCTCACACGAGTGTATCCACCATGTGGGCTAAGGATGGAACACATTCAATGGAGTGTTTAAAGTCATGATAAGATTGTAAAATAATGCGTAGAAATGACATTTGGGAATCGATGCGGATTACAAAGTGAAGAAGCTCTCAACTCCGAATTACCTTTAATTTTGGTAGTGATTTTATGGCCTATCGATTCCCATAAGTCCTGATTTTTAATAGTGAAATCGGTAGATTTTACAGGGTCTACTCGTTATATTGTTCAGAATTGAGTCTGACTTCGACTTCGAATTCTAGATACACCTAACCTAGACTGTGAACTCATTTTCGACTTGGATACAGATCTGAACTTTCACTTGAAACTTAACCTGAACTTCCACACAATCCCAGACTTCGACTTCGAATTCTAGATACACTTAGACTTAGCCTTTGAGTTCATGTTTGACGTGAATACACACTGGAACTTCCACTCGTATTCTATCCTGAACTTCGTCCCAATTCTCGCCTTCGACTTCAACCTGAACTTCGAGTTCTAGATCAACCTAAACCTAGACCTTGACCTTAAGTTCAACATGGACACGAACCTTAACGTTGTCTTGAAAAATGACCTGAACTTCAACCCAATTCTAGACTTCGACTTTGACCTGGACTGCGGCTTCGAGTTCTAGATACACCTAGATCTACACTTTGACCTTAAGTTCGACGTGGACACAAACCTAAACTTCCATTCAAATCCTGACCTAAACTTCGACTTAATTCTCGACTTCGAACTGGACTTCCACCTCGACTTCGACTTGGACTTGGACCTCGACTTCGACTTCGACCTCGACTTGGACTTGGACCTTGACTTCAACTTGGACCTCGACTTCGACGTGGACCTCGTCTTCGATCTCGACTTCGACATCGATCTTGACTTGGACCTCGACTTCGACTTGGACTTGGACTTGGACCTCGACTTCGACCTCGACGTGGACCTTGACTTCAACTTGGACCTCGACTTCGACTTGGATCTCGTCTTCGACCTCGACTTCGTCCTCGACTTCTACTTGGACTTGGACCTCGACTCCGAGCTCGACTCGGACCTCGACTTCGACCTCAATTTCGACTACGACTTCGACCTAGCCTTCGACTTCCACCTCGACTTCGACTTGGACTTGGACCTCGACTTCCATCTCGACTTGGACTTGGACTTCGACTTGGACCTCGACTTTGACTTGGATATCGACTTTGACCTCGACTACGACCTAGACTTTGACTTCCGCTCGACTTTGACTTAGACTTGGACCTCGACTTCGATCGCAACTTCAACTTCGACCTCAACTTCGACTTCGACTTCGGCTTCGATCTAGACTACGACTTAGAGTTTTGGATACACTTAGACCTAGACTTCGACTTTCAGTTCGACGTGACACAGACCTAAACTTTCATTCGAACCCTAACCTGAACTTCGGCCTAATCTCAACTTCGACTTCGACCTCGACTTCAACTTCGAGATTTCTATGGACCTAACCCTATGCCTCAACCTAAACTTGAACATGTCAGTGTAGATAAAACTGTTTCACAGTACCGTCACAAGATTCCTTGATCACTGAGGAGGTAAACATTATTTGATAATTGTAACTCCTCCGAAATCTGACGAAATGCTCTTCGTTGAAATTCTTCGGAACTCGGACGGGCTACCACGGGGTTTCGATGTTTGTGCAGAAGCAATATGGTCTCTAATTTTGCATCTTGTAACGGCTCTGAGTGTCGCATTGCAATGTACACAGTACACATCACTGACATTTACGGTGAATGTATTTTCATCAACGTTGAGGCCCTGTATCATATCATGCCATCTTTCCCGCAATGGTCGAGCAGTTGGTGTCATCTTGGAAACGTGCAAGGTACGATATTATGGAATCGAGATTATCAATAGATGGTGAGGGAAATTGGAGATAGGTTAGTGGGACGCGGATGTTCTAGCAAGCAGGAACAGGATTCTAGGAAGAAATTCAACAATAAATGGTGGCAATATGAATATAGAATTCTTCACATTAGCTAAAACCATGATGCAAGGAATTGAATATAGAAATTGTTGACCGATCCCTCTCTCACACCCATCACAAATTATTTTTGTCCTAGAAAAAGGAAAAGATCCTCCGCCTCGTCTCCCGGAAGCAACTCCTCGCCTAGTCCTAATTCCAGTCCTGAGAATAATCCTACAAAAAAACTTATACTCTGTCCAATACCCCTGAAGTATCCCATTCTGAATCTGAACGAGAAAATTATTTCTCCTCTGATTCTGTTGACATGGCTCCTACTTCACATAAAGAAGTGATGAATGAGATTCTCGCTCATCTCACACGAATAGAAGTAAATCATGAGAACTCACATAAGCATCTCACCGAGCTGATCGAATCCACCTCAAAGGACCATATCGCAAGTCTCGCTGTATTGAGGACGGAGATGGAAACTCAAAAACATGACTTCCAAGCTACCTGTCACCAGATAGACTCAAAAATAAGTAACATAGAAAACACATTCACCTCCAAAATTAACTCCATGTAAGGACGCATTGACAAGGAATTATTGGAGTCAAGTCAAGCTCTTCAGGATCTGAGAAACTCTCAAACAAATACCAATCCTAACCTCGCAGCTGCGCTGCTCCAGACAGTTGATAAGCTCAAGAAGGATGCCAAAAGGAAGAAGATTATTATCACAGGCCTTGACTGTAACTACGAAAATATAAAAAATTTCGCTACTGGTTTTCTCAATTCTACATTCAATGCAGGTAGCGCTGACAGAGAGCTGACAAAAGAACTCGAATTGTTGTCAGTCTGGTCAGTGAAATTTCAAAACACTCAATTCTTCACTCCAAAAGAGACAAACTAAAGGGCAAAAGTATTTACATTGACTCAGATCTGACAACTCGTGAAAGTGAAATTATGAGATGCCTCAGAATTATCGCCAAGGGTCTTCGTCCAAAACATGATGTGAAACTGAAGCACCTCCGGATTTTTGTCGATAATGTCTTGCACTCCCTCAACCTGGAGAAGAATATCCTGATTCCAGTGAAAAAACCACCTCCCGATATTTCTCCTAACCAACAACCTATACAATCCTTCGCACCAAATGGTATCGTGCAAGCTGCCGTCTCCCCTGCCCCTCAACACGCCCAAAAAAACTAAAAACATCTGCTCCATCACTGAAGCTGCTCTTTTGGAATCTCTCCGGATTTGTGAATTTGGCTGACCATGACAACTTGGCAGCATTTGACATCATTTGCCTCTCGGAAACCATGCTGGAGAAGACTCAACCTGAAAGACTGCCGATCGACCTTCGAGACTACAGTGACTACTGGAGTACGGCCACGAGAGAAGCAGATAGAGGGAGAACGACTGGGGGACTCCATACACTAATTAAAAAGAAATTTTCTCATGAATGCATATTTGTAAGTAACTTTTGGATTTTCTTGAAAGTCGATACTGATTTTGGTTCTATCATTGTAGGGAATATTTACTTGCATCCAAAAAATATTAATATTCCGACGTTTCTCAAAGATCTACAAGAAATAATTGATAACTGTGATTCATTCTACAATACTGATTATATTTTTATTAGGGGGGGATCTGAACGCTAAATTAGGTAAATCATTTTTAAATTATACACCTGAGGAACTTTTTGAGGAAACTAGTTTTGATCCTGAATGTGTTCTGGCTGATCCAGGCTCCAATAGTAGAGGTGATATTGTTGCAGATTTGATGAGATCAAATGGTTTCACTTTAATATCGCAAATCATAATGGGTCTAGCACAATTGATCTTGTCTGGGTGAGAGCAGTAGGTATTGATGCCATTGATGACTTTCTGGTGGAACCGAGGGCGACAAGGTCTGAACACTTTCCAATTCTGAACACTTTCCAATCTGATACTTGGGGGACATGGGAATGCTGAAGATCCCAGTCCTTATTCTGAAACCCGAAATGATTCTAATGCGTTCACACCAAAATGGCTGCCAGATGAAGCCGATAGGATATAGGATTTTTGTAAATATATGTACATTTCTAAACCTATGAGCGTTGACTTCCAAAATGCTCCTGTTGACTTTTTCCACCAGAATTTCATTAGTGCTGTTCTAAAAGCCTCAAAGAATGCTGAACTTAGTTTTACCAAAACTCAGGGTTTACAAAATTTGAAATTCCACAGGCCTAATAAGCCGTGGTTTAATAAAAAATGTAGGGAGCTTCGTAAGGCCTATATAGGAAGCGTCAACTCATGTTTCAAAATTAATTTCTGTGATGAAAGGAGACATATTTACTGTAAGTTAAAGAAAGAATATAAGACATATGTTGAGGAATGTATGAGAGAGTACTTCAAACAGATGAGGTTGGATTTTGAGAATGTTCGTAATGGAAAACAATTCTGGCAAGCCGTCAAACTATACAGACGGCATATTTTCTCGCATAATCCGTTGGGTCCTGATGTATGGAATATTTTCTACAGAAATATCCACCTCCCCTGTGTATTACTTGAAATCGATTTCCCCATCCATGTTGTAAATGAGCTTGACAATGAAATTACTGTTGCTGAAGCTACGAGAGCCATAAATATGACAAAAAATGGAAAAGCTCCAGGCCACGATCAGATCTCAAACGACTTTTTTAAATCCCTTCCGGATAATTGGGTGCTTTATCTGTGTTGTACTTTTAATAAAAATTTTGATTCTGGAGTCAGTCCCAATGATTGGTCAAAAGTAGCTCTGTCAATGATACACAAAAAAGGTGATACATCGGACCCGACGAATTATCATGGTATTGCTCTCGTCAATTGTACTGCAAAAATATTCACTTCAATCTTCAAAGCCAGACTTGAGCGATGGGCTGAGGCAAACCGAAAATTGCCAAAATCTCAATTTGGTTTTCGTTCTAGGAGAAGCTGCACGGACGCCATCTTCACACTTATATCGACTATCCAACAACAAATGAGAATAAAGAACTCCGAGGTATTTGGTATTCTCGTGGATTTCAAAAGAGCCTTTGATTACTCCATTTCCCATGACAAACTTTGGTCTATGTTATTGGGGATAGGAGTCAGCTCAAAAGTCGTCAGAATTATCAAAGCCATATATAACCAGGCCCGTGTACAGGTGAGATGCAGTGTTGGACTCTCTGATGAGTTTGAAGTTTCTGAAGGAGTACTACAGGGAGAATCCCTAAGTGCCTTAATCTTTATACTCTATATTTGAGACTTCGAGTCCTCCCTAAGAAACAGTGGCTTCGAGGGTCCCAATATTGATGGTATAAATGATTTGCTTCTGGTCCTATTTGCCGATGATACTGTGCTCCTTTCAAGAAATAGACCTCAATTTTCAAAACTTCTAGTAGCTCTTGAAGAATACTGTGCCCAAAAAGGTCTTGAAATCAACACGAGTAAAACAAAGGTTTTAATCTTCAAAGAAAGAGGCAACCCTAGTAGGCTTAAGGAAATGTCGTTTAAACTCTATGGACAAACTCTGGACATTGTAAAGTCCTTTAATTACTTAGGTGTTATAATTAACTGAACAGCCCATTCAAACTCGTCGCTACTTTCAGTTGTTGGTAAGTCCAAGATCGCCTCTTTCTCCGTTCTCTCTATTATCTACAGATCTCGATCTAACTTATGGGATTCAATTCTCGCCCTTTTTAATAGTAGAGTCTGTAATGATTTTTCCATAGTCTCAACAAATACTCAATAAACCCTAACCCAAAATTCTCGATTATCCTAACACGGCTAAATCATTACCTTCGGTCCAGTGTTGGGCATATTGAATTACAAAAGTAATCGAAATACCGAAAAATGCTGGAATATATTGATAATCTAACATTTTTAGGACTAAACAAATGAAATCCAATTTTATTTTCTTATTGATATGAAGTGAAATTTCTAATTATTGCTGATGACTAGGAATTATCCCATTCATGATCGAAAATCCGGGTGGTGTCTAAAAATTGTGTATTTTTATGAATTACTCTTGATGAGCTGTATTTTTCATCTGAAATACCTGAATACACTTTATAATTCAACATGATAATTTAGGATTGAAAAATATCAACTATAATTCGAGACGACCCTTGAAAATTAGAATTGACAAATTTTCATTTGAATTTTCAAGATACGATTATGGAACATAATTTCCACTTCATCATTTCGGCATTGAGTGGAAGGATTTCAAGTGTATTTTCCCTCCAGTATCTTGAATTACAAAATGGAATAGGTACTTTGGAATTTGAAATTTAAAATACAGTATGCAACAACTAATTTGTATTTTTAAAAATCCAGTACAAATTACAGTATAGAATATGCATTCTAATAATTCAAGGACGGATCATTCACTGCAAATGGTCACGATAATATATTATAGTTATTTGACCAACACGGTGAAAAATATTTGTCAAGAGTTAACAATGTGTTGTTGAATTTTGAAAACTAGTTGCTAGATTTACGAAATCTTGATTTAACGATCGTATTTATGAACTACAAATATATATTAAACATTAAGGCGATATTATCGGTCATGACCGTAGATGTTATACGGTTTGTCATTTCATCTAGGGAGCGGTATGCTCTATGCTTCTCAATACCCCATATACTGAGTTTGCTAATTCAACTCTACTAAGAAACACAAGTGGAAAATTAGTAGAATTAGAAAAGTTATACCTACGTGATCACAAGCTCAGTAGTCAATCTAATCGAGAACTCAAGGAGTCTCAACCATAGTACGGAGCTCATTAGTTTCAGTGCCTATGAACTTACATGGAAAACGTCGTGAACGCTGAGCTATCCGCTTTGTCCAACTATTTGATAAAAATTTTGACAACTAGGGTAACCTGGCCAATAGATGGACGGATCTC